TCCCTGTTACTGTGTATCTGCCCATACCTATCACAATCACTGTTCCTGTATCTCTGGTCTTTTTGTATCTGTTCCTGTCAATGTCTCCATCCCTCTCCCAGTAACCCTGTCTGTTCTTGTACCCATGTCTATGTTAAATCCCTCTCCTGTTCTGCCATTTGTCCAGCCTCCTACCCAGTCTTTTGTCCAGTCACCTGTCTGTTCCCCTGTCCAGTCTCCAGCTCAGTCTCCTGTCTTATCTGCTGTCCTGTCTCAGGTCCAGTTTTCTCTCTGTTCTCCAATCCAATCTTCAGTTCTCCCTCCTGTCTCATCTCCAGTCCAGTCTCCTGTTCTCGTTCCACTTCCATCTAAAGTTGCGTCCCCAGTCTTGTCTATTGTTTCCTCTTCTGTCCAGCCCGTAGTCCCGCCTCATGTTTTGTTTCCCGTCCAGCCTCATAATCAATGTCTTGTCCTGTCCTTTGTCTCCTGCCCAGTCCCATGTTCAGTCCACAGTCCAGTCTCCCATCTAGCACTTTGTCTAGTCTCATGTCCAGTCTTTTGACTAGTTTCCTGTCCATTCCCCTGTGCATTCCTGTCTAGTTTCTTGTCTGTTTCTTAGGTCAGTCTCTTGTCCAGCTCTTGTTTTCAGCCTCCCCCTCTGTACCAGCTCCCTTGGTGTGTTCCTTTCCGTGCCTCGGGAGCTGCGCATTAGAGGGGGGCCTCCAATGTTACAGTTGCAATGTCTACAACACAAATATAGCCATTGTATTTACCATCCAAAATCAGCAGTGAACCTACATGTGTCTTCAGTTTTTATATGTAATGTTTATGATAGCAACATAGTAGTACATCTGTGAAAAATAAACTTTTCTTTGGGTTCAATATTGACCATATTAACATCCTGCATATACCTGTCTGCTATGAACAGATTTTTTTTAAAGTGCATTTTAAGCTAAAAGCTTATCGCTATAAGAGCTTAAAACTATTGTAAAACAGCGTTTCAGGCATCAGGCAGCATTTTCTTAACTATTTCGTTTAATAACTGTCTGTGAGGGAGGTTGCGACGCATTAAACTCTTCAGACGTCTGGTTCCTATCACCACCACAGTTTCTAGGGAAACTGACAATTCTGTCAGTTTCCCTAGAACATCTCACATTAAATCACTCTGAATGGCTGTCTGCATCTTAACCATTTAATTATGCACGAATTTGGTTCCCTTTAATGAGTCCAACTTGACCAGAAACAACCAGAGCTTTCAAAGTATGATAAAAGATCATAATAAACCACAGTGATTTACTGTAATATAATCTTTTGTGACAGTTCACTTACCATGTGCTTGTGCTAACCATACCCCCTTCCACTAATTATAATATCTACATTTGATTGCCTCTCATCGCTCAAAAACAAGCACTTTACCTGAACTCACCATACATTCTGTGAAAATATTTATTAACACTCAACCATTTAGACAACATACTTCTACAATGTACTGTTCCTTACATTCCATTAAAATGGGGCTTTTTATATCATTCAGTAATTGCACATGCTCAGATTTATTCCCTTTCCACCCATATATGTATAAAAATATACATTTGTAAAATATTTTGCTGCACATTTTTATGCACATATAAAGATGGTAAATATATTAATTCATTTTCACAGCAAAGGGTTTGACAGCATAGGACCACAGTATTTTGCACTAAAATATAAATAATAAATAATGTTTGGCATATTCCCCACATCATAGAAATATATATCTTTAGTATATTTTCTTAGTTATGCACTCTTTATTATAATAATTTATGAGAGCACCTTATCGATACATCAGCACCCTGTCAGATGTCCTTCCTCTTCCTCTGAGGACCATTTTGTCATCATATACATACACAGTCCCAAAAGCATTACTCTCTGGAGGGGTCTCAATAACCCCCTCCAGTGTGAGGTGATGAACACCATATTCATCTCTGCAGTAGCCCCCGTCATGATCATGTCCAGCCATGTAACACACCACACTCTTATGAGAGTTCAGAATAGACAGGATCTTGTCATAGTTCCATGCAAGGCAAATAGAGTCAGTAGAGAAGGGATGAACAGGTAGGTGACCTGAAAAAATGGGAAAAGGAGAAAGAAATGAAGGCATCAATCCCAAATTGCTTTAACTAGCATTTTTTTTTGCAACTTAATTTTTTGTCAGTGTTTTTCCATTTTTTACTGAGTACACATTTACTATATAATGCAGAAACAATAGAAACATGCTCCACAGAGAAGGCCAATAAAGAGAATGATCAAGAGAATTAAAGAAAAAAAATGTTATTCATAATAACAATACCAAAATCACAATAATAATACGAACAAAATATAGCTGCAAGTGGCAATACGTGGGGTCCAAGCATGAAACAGCACAATGAGGTCTGTGGTGTGGGGATTACGTACACGATCGTTATGAACATGACCATACATACAAACATACCTGGCAAACAGTTCAAAGATAAGATCTGCAGAAAATTATGGCAATATGTTTATTAACTATTCTTATGCCTCTTTGTGTGCCATAGCACCCCCTAATTAAGTCAGAAACACCAAGGCTGCAATCATGATCAATTTTTTTGAAATTTAACAGAGTGAATTGCCAACATGTTTTTGATAATTATTGAGGCTCACAGTCTTGTGGATATTTTGATACTAGTTACGTGATGGGTGGAAAAACCTATGGCTAGTTTATAAAAATAGATTTTGCATAATATGCAAATTAGCAAAAAAAAATGCAAGTGGGCAGAGCTTAATGTTTCTTAAGGCTTTTTTTGCTTAAATTAGCAGAAAAAAAAGATTCTTGAGTTGCAAGCCTAAACATATTTGCAGAGTGGCACCCCCTTTAGGCTGATTGGGCTCTCACTTGCCTGAGTAATGGGAACAACATAACTAAGCCTGTACTACTTTGAGTTTGGTCTGCGAAGAAGAAGAAGAAGAAGAAGAAGAAGAAGAAGAAGAAGATTTACAGTTTGTTCTGCAAAAATTATTTTAGTAAAGAAAAAATAAGGAAAACAGAAGAAGAAAAAGGTGCTGTGGTTTTATAAATTTCATCGTTATCTACTTGCATCAGTACAATCCTTGAGCAAACAAGTTATACACAATTTAATTCCTTGCCATTCAGTTCTCTAAGCACTGACCATCTTTCATAAAAATCCTCCATTTATAGTTTAAAAAGGAATGTAATATTTTCCACTAGATCTGTGTAGCCAGGCTTTCTTTCCACACTCAACTGTCTGGTTCAAATTTATGTTCATTATAATCTGTGAGTTCTAAAGAAAATGGACACTATCTACTTTTGAAACTCTTTCCAAAATGGAGTTAGTGACTGTAAGCCTCAGATCTTACTCCAGTCTTCATTACTAATTTGGTGTTGTAAGTCTTGTTCCTATTTTTCTTTGACACAACAGGTTGGGGCCTTGGTCAGTAAAGACAGAGCCACATAAATGGATAACTTGCAGGCTTGTAGTAGTCTCAGCCTCAGTCGCTCCGCCCCCACAAATAGACAGAGCATCTGATATCTTTGACACTGTAAACTGGTCACTATCTGGATTTCGTCAACTGCATTTTGTTTGGCTAACACGAGATAATAGCTAGACAGTACAAAAGATTTGTGATGGTCATGGCATTACATCTTTAAAAAGTTATTCAGAAGTTTTCTATGAAACATTTACTAGCTTTTAAGCGTTTTTTTTACATTTGCAAGTTTGCCAATGCATTTGTTTCCTGCAGGTTCTTTTGGTTGCAGCACTGCTTTAAAAAACCACCCCTACATTTTCTACTAAAGCTGTGGTTAGTTATTTTGTATGGCACTGGGATGCTGTTTCCTGTCATAGTATGTGGTTCTCAGACACATTTAACGGAAAACTGCACCAGGCTTTCCAAGGACAGGCAGAACTGTAACTTGTGAGACTGAATTTTAGTAACCTATATAAGGAATGTGAGTTTTGTTCATGAAATAAAGAATTTTACTGAGAAAATTAATAGCTAGTTGACAATCATACTGTTCATTCTAGATGCTGGTATTTCTCTAGTCCTTGTACTCAGTTGTATACAGCTGGGTTGGATGCTGGTTACATATATTAAAATTTGTGGAACATGAGATATATGGCATTACTGTGACTGTTAGTAAGAGAAATAATCTAGCTACTCTTGGATCCTATGTTTTGGCCAAAGCCTATTAGGGGTAATGTGGTAAAAGGTTACATGTTACAGTAATGTGATTACATTTTCCTGTAACAAAGTCATGTAATACATTACAGTTTAAATTCTTGTAATAACATTAATTACATAAAGTTATATAAGAGGACAATTAATCACATGTAACATACTTTCACATACTTTCCCCTATATAGATTATTTGCCTGTCCTTGTGCATAATGTGTGAGCTGACTGCGTGACTTTGACTGATTACTTGACTTTGAGCGGCATAAACTCTGTAAACAATGTTTCAAAGCATCTGATCATGCTAATATGAAACTAATGAAGAAAGAATGCTGTTCTTAAGTAAAGAGAGACCCAACCTCACCTAAACAGAGCAGACTCTGTTTTCATTCAGGAACACCACTAAGCTTTAGATTTTATTCATAAAAACTTTATTTTGTGGCAGCTGTTCTTGGACCACTTCTGGAAGCTAGTTTCTAAGTTTTCAAACAGCATCAGTGAAATTTGTTATTTTAATAGAGCAGAACTGGCTGAGCTCACAGGCAGGGACTGTGACAGGCCTTTTAAATGATGCTTACTATAATAAAAAGAGGGAGCTTAACAACTGTGATTTATAGAGCATTTATTATTATTATTATTATTCATAATAATAATAATAATATTTTATGATTTGTCAGCTGTGTTACTGGTGTTTGAAGCAAAATAGTTTCTCAAAAGATATATATATATTTTAAAGTATACATTCTAACAATATATGATTTTTCACTGACCAAAAAAAACTTTTTATAACAATTTATATATTTCACAAACCTGAGAAGAAAAACCTTCACACTTTGAAGCTTATAGGAGAAGTTTATAATTGATATGGGAGGATATTGGTGAAGCTGAAGCTGATGGAGGATGGGAGTGATGTGTGCAGTGCGCTTGGTAAGGGTGAGGACTGACTGCTGAGTTTGGAATGAACTAAAGCTGGTTGAGCAAATTAACAGGGAGAACATTGAAAAGGGAGTTGCAATAATCAATGGGGCAGAAAATTAAGGTATTAAGCTGAGGGTGGAGGTGTGCACTGTAACACAAATGGTAGAATGCAGTCTCAGTAAGAGACTCAATATGGGGCTCAAATAAAAAGTGAAGAATTAAAAATGAATCCAAGGATTTTACTGACTTGAACTGATTTAATAAGAATACCATCTACATTCACAGTGAGACTGAAAAAGATGTAAACCAGTGTTTTAGGACCAACTAACAAGACTTCAGTTTTGTCTGCATTTAGTTTAAAAAAATGATTGTCCAACCAGTGTTTTAAATCTGTAATGCATATGACTGAGCTAAGACTGTAGGGGAAGCAGTGCTTATGTAGATCTGGATATCACCAGCATAACAGTGGAACTTAAGCCCATGATTTCGAAAGATCAGAGTGGTGAGATGTATAATATGAAAAGAATGGGTCCAAGGACAGAACCTTGGGGCACTCCCTGAGTAACTGGAGCAGTGGATGACTTGTGTGAACCTAGAGATAAACCATTGCCTGTTAGTAAGATAGGATCAGAACTAAGCAAGAGCTAAGCCTGAAATGCCTATGGATGAAAGTCTGGAATTAAGTATATCATGATCACAGTGTCAAAGGCTGCAGTGAGATCAAGGATGATGAAAATATTAAGACAACCACCATTAAAAGATCACCAACAAATCTTAACAGGGCAGGCTCAGTACTGTGCAGGTTGCGGAAGCCAGATTGGAAAAGCTCATATAGATTATTTCTGCTGAGAAAATCCTGAAGCTGGAAGGCCACAACTCTTTCCACCACTTTGGCTAAAGAAAGGAGATTGGAGATGGGTCTGTGATTGGAAAGTAATGAAGTATCTAATCCAGATTTCTTAAGAATGGGAGTCACAGCAGCTATTTTGAGAGAAGTGGGGAGAGAACACGAGGAGAACCAATGATTAATAAGGTGAGCTATAAGATAAGAAATGACAAAAAAACAGGATTTCGAAAATGCGGTAGGGGAAGTGTTGAAAAGAAGACTTAGAAATAATATCTGAAACTGGAGATGAATCAACAGAGGTGAAAGCAGATAGACTGTCAACATTCTGAGCTTGAGTAATTTGGGAGAAAGAGGACTGTGCTACAGTGGGAAACTGCTGATGGTGTTAATTTTATCCCTAAAGTAATCAAGAAAAGCCTGGCAATGAACAGGGGAACAGACAGTAGATGACGTGGGGGGTTGAAGAAATTTGTGTATGGTCCTAAACAGAGTATATCATTGCTCTGAGCTCAGGGGTGAACCACGGGGAGGTACGAGAAGCAGGAACCAGTTTAGTTTTGAGAAGAGCAAGAAAGTGAATATGTTAGAAATAGTGTCATTGTAAAGTGAAACCATGACATCAGGACAGGAGAGATCGGAAAGGTCTGAAAGAAGTGAAGTCTGAAGAGATCTGGAAAACAGATGAAGGTCAACAGAATTAAGGTAACAGAAAGGGATAGTGGTTTTCATAAGAGGTTTAGTAGTTGGGGTCCTGAGATAACTTTTAATGGGCTTATGGTCAGTAAAACCAACAAAGGAACCAGTAACAGAAATATTTTTGAGACCAGTGCAACATAACAAGTGTAGTATATGACCACAACCATGACTATGAGTAGGGAAATCAACATGCTGGGTAAAACCAAAACATTCAAGGTCTGTCAGGAGCTCAGTGGAAAGTGAACAGTTTGTGTCAACATGAATATTAAATTCACCCAGTAATATAATAGCAGAACAGATGGATAAGGCCATTCATTGTAAGCAGTTCACTTAGATCAGACAGAAATTGAGACGCAGATTTGGGTATTCAGTATTAAACAGTATTTAGTACTAAAATATAAATAAAAAACAAATAAATAAATAAATATATTAATAAAACATGCACATGCTCAGATTTATTCCCTTTAAACCCATATATATGTATGTGTGTGTGTATATATATATATATATATACACACACACACACATAAACATTTGGAAAATATTTTACTGCACATATTTTTATGCACATGATATAAATCAGCAAAGGATCACAGTATTTTGCACCAAAATACAAAATAATCAAAGCCAATGTTTGGTGTGTTCCCATCACCACGTAAAAATATATATCTGTAGTATATTTTCTTGTTATACCCTTTGTATTCATAAAGCATGACAGCACATGGGCAACATGACCAACATGTGCCTTATCGATACATCAGCACCCTGTCAGATGTCCTTCCACATCCTCTGAGGACCATTTTGTCTTCATATACATATACAGTCCCAAAAGCATTACTCTCTGGAGGGGTCTCAATAACCCCCTCCAGTGTGAGGTGATGAACACCATATTCATCTCTGTAGTAGCCTCCGTCATGATCATGTCCAGCCATGAAACACACCACACTCTTATGAGAGTTCACAATAGACAGGATCTTGTCATAGTTCCATGCAAGGCAAAGAGAGCAGGTAGAGTAAGGATGAATACAAATGTGACCTGAAAAAAAGGGGGAGAGAAATGAGGTCTCAGTCCCAAACTGCTGTAACTGGCAGGCCTCTTTTGCACATTAAGCCAGCCACAACTATCAGGATTTTGTCAGCTGCATTCTGACTGGCTAACCGCATACCTGTGTTCACACACTTCCAGGCAGCGGATTGTATCTCTCTGATGGGAAACATACCATCACAGGCAGTTGCCTGCTCTTTTGGAGTGAGACTGCTGGATTGTACATAAGATTTAGTTTCAAGATCGCATGGTATGCAGAAATATTTAAATACTGCATTTATGTTGTTACTCAATGCTTCAATTCATTTTGCACGACCACTGAAATTGTTGCGGCACATACATTTGTGAGTATTTTAGTTACATTGTAAAAATTTTACAATATGTGAATTGCTAATTAAAACAGAAAGCAGTGGTTAGTGAACTCTATTTTGCAATCTCTGATTATGCAGCCATGCTGTTGTAAGACATGCAGAGTGTTTCTTGCTGTTGTCATGTCGAAATAAGCATGGACATCCTTGAAAAAGACGTCGTCCAGAAGGCAGCATATCATCGGTGTCCAAAGAAAAATAAGTATCTACAAAATAGTAACATTACAGGAAAAGGCAAAAACGCCTTTACTTTATGTGCAAGTGATTTTATTCCAAGCAATTTTCACACAATGTAAAGGACAGCTGCTGTGTTCAAATGATGTAGAAAAATAAAAATCTACAAAAATGGAGAAACATGTTGTATTCACAGATGCACAAATTACCCAGGTCATGGGCACTAATACAGTTGGGAATGGTGTCATTGATAACAGGTTGAAAAAGTATTCCTGAGCATGTGTGGTGATATCCATCACAGATATCGATTTTTAATAGGGTGCCATCTGAGGGACTCAGGCATTCAGTTGTAGTTTTTGGCCTTGCCCATTACACACAGAGGTTTCACCAGATTCTTCACCTTGAATCTTTTAATGTTGTGGAATGTTGTGTTATGTGTTTTTTTTTGGCAAAGTGGCAAAACTCAACCCATCCTTGCTCCTAAAGGACTACATTTTCCCTAGATGCTACGTTTACACATAAGCATGACAATCATCTGTTTAATTTCACAACATTTATAGCCCTTGTCCCAACTTTTTCAGAACTTACAAGCATTCACTTCAGAATGGGTGTATATTCACAAAAAAATGAGCTGACATTAAATAGCTTTGCACTGCTCTTGCTTAAATACAGCCTAAAATGGACAAATTATGGCTGTCTGTTTTTATTAGCATTTCACATACCTGGCCTGGCTTTTTTTTACAATCCATGTTTGAAGCTGGGTGGCTACCAATATACTCAGGGGGTTCAGCTTAAGTATAGACCCAAGTATGGACAGACAATAATTTAATATAAGCATGTTTTAAATTTAAGCCTTGCTATGTACAACTCGAGGTATCACTAATATAAATAAATATCCAAAAAGAAAGCTTATTTAATTAAAGATATAGACGGGGCTAGTGCAGTGGTCACCAACCCTGGCCCTAAAGGTCTACTTTCCTGCAGAGTGTAGTCCCAAACACAATCTGTCACACCTGCTCCAGCTAATTAACATCTTCAGAAACCGTTCCCTGGCTGGATCGGATACATGAGTGTTAGATAATAAGGAAACCACACTTTAGACGCAGGAGGCGAGTCGGTGACCACTGGGTTAGTGTTAACGTGCTGTGTCTGGATGATGATCCAGTCACCAGAATACTTACACACAAGTGTGACTTTTTCCTCATTCTCATCCGCACTGACTAAAACCCTGTCCAACCAGTCGAGCTGTTCTTGGCTGAATCCTCCATTGAACTTCACAAACCTTCCTTCCAGCATAGAAAAGGCTGAAACTGAAGCACATTCATTCACAAACAGATTATCTATTTTTAAGTCATCATTTTAAGGAGAATTCGATATAATGCAGTGGTTCAGATATAAATAAAGTCATTGAGGATGGTTTGATGTAAAATGGTCAGTGTAGATAAACCTACCGACCGATTTCTACAAAGTCTACAATGCAAATACAGCCATTTTATTTACTTTCCAAAACCACCAGTGAACATACACGTGTCCTCTGACTTTTTTTATGTAATGTTGATGGTTAAAATGGTCAATCTGACAAAATAAGTTTTCTTTGGGGCCTATTTTACCTTAAAACCCCCCTTATGTATCCCTCCACCATGAATGGATTAAAATGAATTGGTTAAACTAAGTTTTAGACCAAAACTTTATCACAAAACTACGGGGAGCATTTCCCCTTTTCTGTATTTTAATATTCTATACTAATGATAAAACATTATTCTCTGTTCATTTTGCTCTTGTGTTACTGTTCGCTATCCTGTGTCAACCAGAGGAGGATGGGTTCCCCTTTCGAGTCTTGGCTCCTCTCAAGGTTTCTTCCTCTTCTTGCTCTTAGGGAGTTTTTCCTTGCCACTGTCACCACTGAAGAAGCTCGTTGTGGTTTGGACCCGGATTTTTCTGTAAAGCTGCTTTGTGACAACGCCTGCTGTAAAAAGCGCTACATAAATAAACTTTGACTTGACTTAATGGCCGTTAACGAGTTCAGACGTCTGGTTCCTTTTACCACCACTATGAACAATTCAGACAAGTTTCTCTAGAACAGAGCATTTCACACCAAACCACGCTGAATCACTTTGTTGACATTAACATTTAATTATGCGGAAATTCTGAAAAATCGGTGGAGTTCCCCTCCAAGCCAATCATTTCTAAAGCTGCATGTTCATGTACCTGATGGCTCATTCAGCTCCTCGTTGCAGTTGTGCTCTCGGATGATCTTCATCGACTGCTTGTACTTCTCACTCGATTCATCTCTCCCTAAAATGCTCAGGTCGTAGGCATCTAGCACGACGAAGCGGAATTTGGGAGCAGGGCTGAAGTGGTAAGCGTACACCTCCTCCATACTGCCCTCGCCTTTATCCCGGCTGTTGAGGACGGACTTGAACAGCTCGTCTCTGCTGAAGTTATAAAACTCGTGGTTGCCCCACACGTGATGCACTTCGGCCGTGCAGTTGCTGAACTCGTCTAGGACGGTCTGCAACGCTCTCTTAGACGCGTAGCGTCGCCTGTTAAAGCCGTCGATGATGTCCCCGAGCTGGAGGATGAAGCCGGGCCTCCGCTCCGGCTCCTCTCCCTCTTCCCACCACCTGACCGCGTCGCTCAGGATTCGCAGGCTGTTCCGATAGTAGCGTTTCCTCGTGCCGTGGTAGTTATAGCCGTCGTCCATGTCGGCATACTGAATGTCAGCGATCACGCCGAACGTAAACAGCGGAGCCGCTCCGTCCCCCATGAGCGCGTCTCTAAGTTCAGCGCGGCTCTAGTAGCGAGCGGGACATGCGGAAATGACAAACTGGCCGAGGAGGGCCGCGCTCCAAACCGCGTGATAGTGCACTAGCGTTCCGGCCAATGGGCTTCCAGAATGCTGCGCACTACTTAAGCACTCCAAGTTCGTATTGCTGTAGGTTGGATCAACTCGGGCGGTTTTTCAAAATGTCTGTATGATTAAAGGGTTCGCATGTAAACAAACTCATTCAGAGTGGTTCAGTGTGACACGCTCCATTCTAGAGGTGATAGGAACCAGACGTCTGAAGAGTTTAATGCGTCTGAAAGCTCCTTCACAGAAAGTTGTTGCATGGAAATGGCTATGAATACGCTGCCTGATGCCTGAGACATTGTTTTGAGATAAGACTTTGGCCTAAAATGTACATTTTTTTAATCCTTTTATGGCAGAGAGGTACCACTATTTAGCCATCAATGCTACATTTTCAAGTGAGAAGACACGTGTATGTTCAGTGGGGGTTTGGGATATTAAATAAAATGGCTGTATTTATAGTGTTGGACATTATACCCCCTTGGTTCCCATCACCTTCACTGTAAAGAAATCAGAATTGCTAAGTTTCTCTACAATGAACCACCCGGAATGACTCTGTTTACATCTCAATGACTGACTTATGCAGAAAATTTGAAAAATCAGTGGAGTTCTCCTTAAACTGAATGGGTTTGTGTTCTATTAAATGCTTCATTATTGCTCTAATACAAATGTATGTGAATCAGATTTACTCTAGGGGGTCCAGTATGCTTTACAACATTTTGTGCTTTACCTTTTATCTCAATGCTATGAAATATTTTAGATTTTACATTACTAAAAAAAATCAGATGGACATCACAATCTGCTCATGCTTTGATCGCACACAAGATTTTTCATTTAATTAGCAGGATAATTCTGTTCTGCCAGCAGGAACATGGAACCCAGTATCACAGAAAACCCACCAGACTTCTCAACAGCCAATAGTTTAAAGCTACGGTCCACCCATAGTTGCACCTCTCCCATCTGGAGGTTTCCCACCATGCAGTCATACACAGACTCAGGCATTTTGCAGGCAGATTCGCAAAACCTCATGGAGGTTACTAACAACTGGTGTTGTAAAGGCCTTAGGACCCTCTTAACCTAACACCACTCTGTGACCGGCTAGCGCCTTTTCTGTGCCTCATTCCCAAAAGAAGAACAGAAAATGCTTAGGTAGTCGTGATGGAAGCCAATGGGAGGAATGTGAGGAAGCCCACAGAGTAGGTCACTGGCCTTGGGGTTAGTGTAATTAATTGTGAGAACTTTATTTATTTAGAATGTTTGTTATTTTTCATGTTTTAAATTACATTACATTGTTATACTTTACATTATTTTTATTACATTACATTATTATTCATGTTTTATATAGGTCAGTCACAAAGTGGGCCTAGGTTACAAGGGTCATAGGACCATTAGGACAGCCATTAGTAACCTCCATGAAGCCCCTAGATCACAAGCACGCACATTATAGTGTACTAGAACACTAGTACTAGTGTACAGTCCACATGCAGTTCTACACACTAGCTGGGCGTTCTAGAAATAACAAGTACGGATAACAAGACTGCATGTCACATTGTTCACTTTCTTAACCCCATATTTTTAATTTCCATTAAAAAGCCTAAAATTTCCTTTGCTCCATATGTTCCCTGAGCTCTCCGAGCACAAACCTGAAGAAATTTTTCAACTGGATCAAAGTATACAGACTTCTGCAATGCTTGCATTTGTGTCTTCCTTGTAAAAACTGTGAAAAGTATTTTGATTGAGGAGCAACCTTGTGAGAACAGATTCTGACCTAAACTGCCCATCACTTAATTATGTGTATTCATTATGTGGAAATACAGATACAGATTGTTTTAAGTGATGCGTGCCACCAGCCAAATGCTACTATATTTACTAGGCATGATGAGAAAATTGTCCTACCTCACATTGCGCATGTTGCAATAAGGCTAATTACCCAACGAAGACAACAATAACAAACGTATAGCTGTCAAGTCTCGCGGTTTAGTTAAGTACTGCTGGTTTAACACAAGACTCACGTCTTTTGTTTTCGCTCAGGTCTCACGGCAGTGAATGTAAATCTCATGGTTTAAAAACTTGTTTTGCTGGACTGTGTTATTGCAGAAACATCATGACTGGACTCAGCTATGTCCTTCCAGAGTACTGCCTAGTGTTATTAGCTAATACAGCACAATCAAATTAAAGCTAAGAATGTTGATTTTGCTCACTGGCATTTAAATAGACTACCAAAATGGATGCTAAGCAATACAGAGTTTAATTTGACTGCACTGAGAAGTTAAAACTAGGGGGAAATGCGTTTTGTAAAGTTCGTAAGCATGCTGTAAACACTGCAGCGTTAGGACTGTTTGAAATTAAAATGCAGTGGAAAGCAGCTTGCACACTTGCACAGCTTGTGATGGCCATTATGGCTCTTTTCATTTAGTTGGATCAACACAAAAACCGACTCCTTTGGCTCAAACTCTTCGTTTAGTAGCGCTTACAGCAAACAGGCTTTCAGGCTAAACTAACAAGATCTCTGGGTACAAAATCAGAACCCTGGTAATATGGCTAAAAGGTTTTACCACTACAGAGATATTAAAATGTACTACTAAATTTTAACAATCTGATTCTGAGTAAAACAAAACAAAAAAGTAAAACAAAATATTTAATGTGCACATGCTACATTTTAGATTTTATTTTTTTCCAATATGTTAAACTCAACAAATAAACAGTAATTGTGCATTAAAATGTGCAGAAGTATGTTCTCTGTAGAAGATGTGTGCTTATTTTCTCTTAGACAAACAATGTCATTGGACCAAGGGTGCCCAAACTTTTGCAAATCACTAGATTAAAAATACTATTCACTATACAAATGATTCTAATACATGATTTAAAAAAACATCTTAACGTATCACGGTCCATGTTTAAAAATTGCATTTCTTTAAATTAATGACTACAGAGCCAATATACACAACTTTAGTCATGGTGGGGCTGGTTGTCATGCTTAGGGAAGGTGTTGTCAAAGTCACATTTAACGTTGTTGTTGTTTTGTTGTTCTTGTCAACAAAACGGAGAACTATGCTTATATTGATGTCGATGAACATTTTTTATACTTTAATCATTCATTCATACAATTTGTTCAAGCATGGCAGTACAACCACAATTACAGATTAGAAAATCAGCATCAGAATTCATTGATGAATTCAATTCATCTAATGTAACACCTTCGTAAAAACAGACGTACTGTAAACTATGTGTAATATACAGGAAAACTGTGGGCATGCGAACCTCTTTCAATGAAAAAGCCTCTAGGGAAGTAACCATTCTGATAACAATATGAAATTATTCTACAGTTAGGTCTTCCCAGCATGTGTGGAAAAACAGCTGAAAAGGGCAACTAAAACAGCTTAGTCCTTAGAAGCCTAGTTACTGGTGTTTCTTTGCTGTACTATTTAAATTTAATTACACAATTAATCACACAGTTATGTAATCAACTGCATTAACATTTTTACATTCTATCTGCAACAGTTCAATTTCCGCACATCCGGTAGATAAGAATAAGCCTGGAGGTATAACAATAACCTTCATCAAATTTAAATTACATCTCCTGTTATGCAAATACAAATACAATTGTGGCATCAGTTGAAAGTTTAGAATCCACATTTTCCACAGAATTTCTTTGGATGATTTAATGAGCGACAATTGAGAAATATTAAATATGAATACACCTTTGTTATCGCAGCACTGTAAAACCTAAATGCACATCTTAGTGAAAGAATTAAGTTAATACAACTTAAATACTACACAAAGTTGGAGTCACTTAAACAGAAAACAAAACTATTTTCAAAACTATTTAAAAATTGAATTGTTGAGATAAGTTAAACATTTTGAGTGTGATCATTTTTTAGCATAGTTTGAGTTAAGGTGACTTAGTTCAAATGTTATGTAGACACACACACCTTCTAAGCTGCTTATCCTTCTGGGTCGTGGGGGAGCTGGAGCCTATCCCAGCGGTCAATGAGCAGAAGGCCAAATGTTTTATGTTCACCATTTTTCTTTAAGTTACTTTTCAGGCAAATACAAACAGGCCAATAAGTTAGTGTGGCTGTATCGATTTCCCCTCTTCTAACTATATGTGGGACAACAGACTGTTTAGTCCATAGACTACTCTTAGTTTTAGCCTGTTCAGAATTACCCATGTTAAGTGATGGCAGTGAAGTGTGTGAAATAATTTTGATGCCTATCAGGAGTCACAGGCTGCCTCAGCACAATAGGGGTTATCAGTTAATTCAGTAGTTGAGCTGAGAAATATGAGACTGCATAAATGTTTAATTTAAATGTTTTGGACTTTGAACTTTTAGTATGTTGTATGTAAGACTTCTCGGCTTTACTTTTTGGTCAATGTAACCTTCTTGAATAAAACTCACACCATTCCCATTGGCTTTTGGGACCATAAATTTGCATACTGGGCACATCTTTCCACCTTGTTTAACCTACCATGTGCATACTGTCATTCTCCCCAGCCTACGTCCCCTTTGGGTGTCTGTTCTATTTTTGGGCAACTCATCTAGTCTTAGTTTACACTGATTTTGGTTTATTAAAATCAACGTTGAGTGAGCCATGATGAGTTGCCATGTCCAATCCTGTTGAGTGTGGGTCTGTGGTGGTTGAACACTGCAGTGACCACTGTTGCACTCTGGGTAAAAATGTCAGCATTTAGTAATGATGATGGTCCAGAGTAGTATCAAGTTTAACGGTTTAAGGGATTGTTTTCAATAGGTTTCTGCAATACAGTATGAATTTGTTACAATTATAGCCAAGCTTTTTTAACTGAGTTAGTTCAACGTAACTCAAGATTTGTGTAAAGGCAGTGAATTTAAGTTACTGTGACAACTCCTATATGTTCTATAAGTTACATATAAGTCTGAAATACTCAATCATATTAACAGAATGAACGGAGTTAGTACAGTTCACTCAATGTACTTAAGTGCATACAATGACAAAATGTGTGTTGTTCATACTCAGTTTATGGTCAAATGATTTGAGTTACTTAAATAGTTTAAGGCAGTTGGTTTCCTCAAACCATTTGAGCTTACTGAACTTATCAGGTTTTACAGTGAGGTGATAACTGTGATTGTTTAAGTTTATTCCGAGTCAGAATCAAATGATCCACAGTTGTGGCAGAGTATAACGCGATACTCCGATGTGCAAGCTTCATGGGACAAATTTTGGCATCTGCAGCACCTAACCCACGGCTGACTGGTCCCACCGCTCGAGAACGGTCCAAGGCATACCAGACAAAAGCATTCGGCTTCATCTGATAGCTCATCAAACCTAACTTCTTTCTTTCCCACAGCCCTCTTTGTCTTTTGTCCTGGGAGAATTTTCTCCTCTGTTCTTTGCGAAGACTTTGCCCTGTCTTGCTCCAACTCTTCCTTCACCCGTGTGTCAGTCAAGATTGCATATTTTCTCACTATACGTTTAACAGTTTTCCTTGCCCCAGATTTGGGTAATGACCTCAGATGTTCTAGGGATGGAAAAACTGGCATGGATCTGGTGCTTGGCACAGAAACACTTTTATTCCCAGATGGAGCTTTGCTGCTGCTTTCAGTGGTGGACGCTGGGCTGGTATTGGCTGGAGCTGCACTGCTGTTTTCAGTGGTGGACACTGGGTTGGCACTGCCTGGAGCTTCAGTGCTGGATTCATTGGTGGACACTGGGCTGGTACTGAATGGAACTTCACTACTGTTTTTGATGGTGGACACTGGTCTACTACTGTCACATGAAAGGCTTGTTGCTTCCGCCGTTCTTACTGTATTTGTTGTGTGCCTTTTTAAGAACCCCGTGAACCACTCGGCAGATGCTTGTTCGTTATCAGACCACACCTTTGGCACCTTGATATTGTGAGCAACTGCAAACTGGTAAGCAAGTTTTCGTGTTTCTTTCGGTGAAAGGCCATAATATACATCTGATTCTTTGGATATATATTTTACCAGGTTCTCTTCCAGCTCGAGAGGTAGGATTAGTTTGTTTTTAATGTAACCCACTGTTGTGGTTGGCTCCATCTGTCTCCCTTCAATCTCTTCCACAGTGAACTTCCTGCAGTATCGACATAACGTGCGGTAGTGTATTCCAAACTCCTTTGCTGTGCTTCTTATCGTTCTGTTCTGCAGTTTCACCTGCCTCACTGCTCTCAGCATAATATCTGGAGGTGTACTGCCTCTCTCTGTCTTGCGTATGTAATTGCGCACCATCTTCCTACCTGCAAAAATGAAAAAAAAGTAGTTTTGTAATCTTTTTTTTTTTTTAATACTAAGTAAGAAAAGTTGCCACGTCACAACAAATCAATTTCCAATCAAAACGGACACTAAGTACAAGTTAATTTTGCAGTGTCAGGAAAAACAGAAAACATTTAACAGAAAATTACACTAAACATGATTTAAAAAAAAATCAGTGTTTAGTGTGTCCACACTTTGTCTTTATTACGCCTTACATTCTTTTCAGGAGACTTGCTTTCAGGCCTGCAATATATTGTGAAGGCAAAAAAATCTATGTAAAAGCTGAGAAAATGTTTTCTAGAACACAAATTGGCCAGAATTCTGAGCCTTAGCTAAACATTCCAGCCTCCTGAGACACTGTGCCCTCAATCACATTTCAGCTTCCCTGTGTCCTACATAATCACAAGCAAATGTTTCAAATTCCATGTTTTGTTGATTTTTTAAGTGAAATATATTAACACATCCACAACAAGGAACAAAAAAGGAAAACGGATAATATTTTATAAAAATGTTTTATTTATTCCAATATGTTAAATTCAGCAAATAAACAGTAATTGTGTATTAAAATGTACAGAAGTGTGTTCTCTATCAAGTATCAAGGATGGGTTCACTTATTGTAATCTTACTATAATACACATACAGTCTATGTACCCAAATAGTACCTGCTCTGTGAGGGTCCATGGGGTTCCTGTCCACATAAAATGAACAAGGTCATAATGTTATGCCTGATCGATGTGTATGTATGTATGTATGTATGTATGTATGTGTGTATGTATGTGTGTATATGTGTATATATATATACACACACACACACACACGTTTCCTGTTGCTTTCTATGCATTACCATAGCACAGAAAACCAACAGTAGCTTAATATACCACCTAAATGGAATCACACAATCATAAATAACAAACTGCGCCCACTTCAACCATGTTGTTAATACTTTGACATAGTTAGCAGGTGCTAATACTGCAGATATCAAGGAGAAATTAAAAATGCACTTAACAACGTTGCTCGGGTCTCAGGAGGCTAGAACAGAGGAATTACGCAAGGAAATTCTACACGATAGTTAACGGTGAGTTTCTAGAACACAAACAAGTACGCATAGAATTGCACGCACTAGATAAGCGTTCTAGATCAAGTCATGGTGCTACAACAATTAAAAACACCAGCAAAGTGTTCTGGCCAAAGGTCTCATGAAATTCTACGCACTTGCTATGCGTTCTACAACGCAGTTGGGGCGGCAGGTTTTCTATATCCTCGCTAAGCTGTCTAGAACAGAAGAGCGGCTTTTGGAACGCAGCCCGAGTGCTAATGTTATGTTACTTACATGCGGCTGAAGCTCAGTGTCTGAGTTCAGAAAGGCAGCGCTGTTTGGTCGAACTTGTCAGCACATGACGACCTATGAGACCACAGCGAGGTTAAGCCATTGTTCAGATAAGAAAACGCGCCGCGTTTTTGCGCCCTTTATTCCTCCTGTTTGGAGGGTTTTTATTGCCTTTTTGTGGCCATTCAGAGCGGCAACTCTACACAACTTCTTTTTCCACTTGGAGTTATCGGTGGAGCATGAACAACAAGGCGCATTACCGCCACCTACTGTTAGGAGGAGGCAGTGTATTAAGAAAAAAAGTGAAGTGATTCAGTCCTGTAGACCACCTGCATCGAAGTTTATCTATGCTTATCTATGAGTATTCATTTATTCATCAGTGTATTCATATGGTTAATGATTTACTGTAATACATCATTAATAATTTAGTATAATACTTCATTAGGAATAATCGTTTTAGGCCTGAATCAATCATTTTTTGCATTACGCTTTTTTCCCTGATGTATTTTTTATAACATTTGTGTGAGTTTGTATACTAAAACCAGTTGTTATTCATTTTTAAATGACCATTTTTCACAGTATCTTTAACAGGCTGTTTCTGTCACTGTGCCTTTGTGACTGATAAATATAAATAAGCTCTGCTCTGTTTGGCTGTCCTGTTTTCATGCCTCATTCAAAAAGCAGTCCAGGCTGAATTCCCCTGGCCCCCATTTCATACTGCATATCTTTACTCATTGTATCTTCTTGTAATTGTACATAAAAAAATACTGTTTATTTGCTGAATTTAACAGATTGGAAAAAAATAAAAAAAAACATAAATTGTGGCCTGTGCAAAAGTTACAGCACATTCTATTTTATGTTTTTTTTTTTTTGTTTCCAACATGTTAAACTAAGCAAATAAATAGAAATTATGCACTAAAATCTGCAGAAAATGAATCAAATGTGCCATATGAATCATCCATCCATCATCTAAACCGCTTATCCTTCTGGGTCACGGTGGGGTGCTGGAGCCTATCCCAGCTGTCATTGGGCGGAAGGCAGGATACACCCTGGACAGGTCACCAGTCCATCGCAGGGCAGACAGACAGACATATACATTCACACTCACACCTAGGGGCGATTCAGCATGTCCAATTGGCCTGACTGCATGTCTTTGGACTGTGGGAGGAAACCGGAGTACCCGGAGGAAACCCACACAGACACGGGGAGAACAGGCAAACTCCACACAGAAATGACCCTGGTCGCTCGGCCGGGAATCGAACCCAGGCCATTCTTGCTGTGAGGCGACAGCGCTACCCACTGCGCCACTGTGCCGCCCGCAATATGAATCAATGTATTATTATTATTATTATTATTATTATTATTATTATTATTATTATTATTATTATTATTATTATTATTATTATTATTGCTAGTAGTAGCCATAAATACATTGTATTTTAACACTGCTGTTGTTAATTTACAGAAATAGAATGTAAATTCACAAAAACAAATGATCACTTTTATTTCACAGACATTTGTGTTTATTTTAATGGTTGTTAATATTATTATGGTGAAATGAATGTCAGAATAACTAGTTGAACTTGTAAAAAGTGTTCAATTACAGTGTTAAGTGTTCAATTTCTAAGAAGTTACATGACTATAAATTTACAGATTTTTGCCATCAGTGAGAAAACCTACTTTTATGATTAAATAACAGCTTTTGTCTGGCACCCCTGCAGCAAGACTTTTTTACAGTGTAGTAATAATATTGTAGTATTTTACAAATAAATTTACAAACCAAATGCGTTCAGCCGATTTGCATTGTTTTACACGTAGATACTGAGTAATAAGCTTTAGGATGTAACAAGCTTGGGATTTTAAGGGAAGAGAAGACCAGAGAGAAGGTGATGGTGTAACGGAACAACAGCATCCTGAATCTGTAATTACCTGCAACAATCATAAAATATTCCAAAACCAACAACGGCAGCTTTCAAACTGTTAAATGGTGAGACAAACGTGTTTAGATTTCTGATCTTGCTTTGCTTAACTTTATGAACACTGAACTTCACACTGTAGGTTATTAGCCAGTGGAACGTCTATTGTTTGAATTGTTTGAAAGCTAGGTAAGTAATAAGGATTACAGGAGTAGCTGTACTGATTTAATTACTCCACCAGCAATACGTTATCACACACAACCCACACCGTTTCTCAAAGATATTTCTAGGTGGCTTGTAGCTAATTCTTCTGACTGTTTAGCTCTGCTTTATTTAGGCAACCCGAGTTTGGCATTTGACTTGACATTAGCCCATAAGCCATGAGCTCTTTGCATCTGTTGCAGAAAAGATTAACAGACAGTGATGTGAATCTGTCTCATGTTTTATTATTTTGTTCTTGTAGCTTCTTGACCTTTCTATGAGGGCAATCATTTGCTAGTATGGAAATACATGTATGTGCTGTTTGTTTATGCTGGTAGGTTTGATAGCATAGTCTTCAAATATTATAGTGTTATATAAGCACAAACAGATTGTTATGTTTGATAGACAGAGTGCCCAGTCTCATTACGAACCTGGGAGAAGACACAACTGGATTATGCTTTCCTCATAGTTGCTGATCTTTTCTTGCCTCATCTGGCTCAGGTTTCTAATAATAGAGATAAATTGTTCCACCAAGAAATAGAGTTCCTTTAGAATATGTGATCAACCAACCATAGACCACTGAAAGAGAACAAGAACGTTCAGATTGCCGTCGTTTCATGAACTTTTAAACTTTTTTGTCATATAACAAAGATCATGTCATAATATAGCACGCTTTAATTCAAAATACTTTTGCTCACCAAATTACCAATGTGAATTTCTGTTAGCACTTCTGTGTGATTTACAGTCTTATTAATACAAAACTATGTGTGCATCCCTTTTCCCATGGTGCGGCTGAATCTTATACATTGTGCACTACATAGGAATGTAAATACTGGCTCCTGCACCCAAACAGTGTTGTGATTTGGGATTTAGTCACGTCCATGCTGGACAAATAGTGCACTGGCAGATCTGACTAAGAGACGGACATTTGAAACATATAAGACATTCAAGTGACACATCCTTTAGTCTTTAATGTTGCACTTTTACAGCAAATCATATAGTAAGTACTTTAATTTAAAGTCTGTGATAGTAGTGGAGCAGATGTTTAGCCTGCTAGCTATCTTTTAACCTGTTGGCTAGCTGATCAGCTTAGTTTTAGCTAAGAAAATGAGTTATCAGCTCCTCATTTCAGACAAAAGATAATCTTACTTCTTCACACTCTTGGTCCTTGCAAGCAGCGTTACGGTTAAAGATCGTTCCATTAACAGCACAGGGAAGTTTTTTACTTATATTGTGTACTGTACCCAAATATTTACGACACGGCTCAGACAATCGGATTTTAAGATAGGGACTATCCATTTTATAATAGAAAATTTAGCCTCTACTTCTGGCACCTGTCCTCTTTCATGATGCCTTTTCTAAATCCTTTCAAACTTTCAAACTCAAGAACACTCACAGACACTGAGAGCTAAAGCTTTTGAAGGTTGATTCATAGACATGCTGTCACATCTCTACGGCTTCATAAGAGAGCCACTGGAATTCCAATTGAACCCATGGTCGGTTAGGCTTGTTAATGTATTCTGAGAGATTAAGCAATTATCAGCCATAGAAGACTTCAAGGAGCTAAAGCAAACTGTGCCATTGAACGATGCCATTAATGTCATGTCATAAGTGGTAAAACATGGTGAAACTCTGGTGAAAATGAATGAATAAATGCTGATGGAGTATAGCTGTACCAGCAGCAAAGATCAAAACTGTTCTAACAGTTCTTTGTATGCATGTATGTACATACCTATGTGCTTCATAACATGGATAACACTACAGTGCGGCCTCCCCATGCTAATGAATGCCAACTGTTACTGAAGTGTCGATTGAGTGTAAATTTGGATGCAGAGATATATATAGTCTAAGATCTATGGTGCTTAGTGTTGGACACAGCATCAAAGAAAGGCCCAAGGGCATGTCTCTAGGATGGATCATTCTTCCCTGGCAAGACAGAGACATTGTTTATGGGGCATACCACCCCACCCTATCAGAGGAAAATTTCATCCAAATATAGGTATTCAGTTTTAACAGGAGCCAAAAGGATCTTTATAAAAGAGGCCAGTCGGTGTCACCAGTACCAGTCCTCTGCTGAGCCTCGGTCTTTGAGTTACTTGTACATGATTTAGCCGTTTATCACTTGAGTTTTCATATTGTCTTCCTTAATGGGCTTAATGAATCCTACTAAATCATTTTAAAACCATTCTTTTACAGCAAATTGAAGCTGAATCATTGGACGGAAGAGATATTAGAGGGAGGAGAGGTGAGCTTTTTAACCCGTTGAATCCTAATCTTATTACTTAATTGTTCAGTTTATTTATTGTTTCGTAACCACTATCAATTATAAGGTTATCTACTCTTTTAAAAGTACCACAAAGAGTTCTTTGAGTGATGCCATAGAGGAGCTGCTTGTTTTGAAAAGAGATTTGTGGCTGCAAAGTCCATTTTGAAAGCTTGACCAGGAGTAATTCAGAGTGGTTTAATGTGAAGTGGTTCAGTGTAGAGAAACGTATTGACTCTGATTTGTGTATTGTTATTATTTTATATATATTATCCAAAATATGTTTCTTTTTTTGTAATGTTCCTATCACCACCACTGTGAACAATTCTCACTTTTAAGTTTTTCTAAAACAGAGTTTCACATCAAACCACTCTGAGTGACTTTGTATACAGCTTAATCATTTAATTATAGATGAATTTAAAAAAAATTGGTGGAATTCCCCTTAAAGGAACCGTGACATGATATAAAGGTTCTATACCAGTTTAATTGTTCTTTCTGCAACTTTTACATTACATAGACAAAAAATTGGCTTGATTCAAATATGTACATCAGTTCCATATAAATATAATATATTACATGTACGGTGGCCGAGAAGACCCAATAAACTGCAAATAAAAACGAGCTGCAAAACACAGAAAACACTTCCATCAAAATGACGCCACGCACGCTTTGTTTCATAAACGTGCTGTAAATACAGAAACACATGAAACTTCAGAAACGCTGCAAAGCCAGTCACAACACAACGGAAATGTCTCAGGAAGACTCAAAAGGGCTCAAATGGGATGGAATATCTGTGACAGAGAATCACGGTCAGAAGTAGAGAAGACCGTGGACACTTACATCCCAAGT